GATTTTTCATACATTTTCTTTACTCAAAACGGAAATCAAATTGGTAATAATTAGAAATTAAATTTAAATTTTAAAATTAATTTTTCTAAGGTAAATCTGTCTGGTTAAATGAAAATAATGAATCATTCAAACCATATATTATTTTGAATTGCTGTTCTGTAGAAACAAATTTTGGAGATGATTTGGAAGCTAAACCTTTTGTATATGATTTTTCAAAACATTTAGTTCCCAAATTTTATTGAACGAATTTTTCTTTGATTAATTTTGTTTTGTTTGGATTTACTTTTTATCAGTTAAAATAATCGATAATGACTTTTTTGGAATTTTCTACAGCTTATTTATTTAGATAAAATTATTTTTTCAATAATTCTTAAAAAGGAAAAAACAAATGAATTTTTAATTAATTCAAAAAATTAAGATCAAAATAAGACAAAAAATTTTAAGGTTAATAAATGTTAACAAGTAAAAAATCAAAACATAAAATCATTGAGGACTTCCACGCATAAAATAACACTTACCTAATCTTTATAACTTAAAAAAGAGTGAAAATGAAACAGAAATTGGATAAAAAATGAAAGATGACTTAGCAGAAAAAATAAAAATTTAAATAAAAAAGAAATTTTGGTGATAGTTTGGGTTATTCCACCCCCTTTTTTCTGTTCCATGACCATTTTCAGCTTTCTTGCTTGATCTATAATTCACAAATCATTTGAAAGAGCGATTCTGAACAAAATTATGAGCAGAATCCTCTCTGGAAAAGATTTTTGGGCCGTTCTAAGCAATTAAAACAGACAGTCTTAACTTCGTTGTATTAGGTCGATTTTGGAAGATTTTTATGCCATTCGACACAGCTCAAAGAGCTCTATAGAAAGATATATGATTTACCATAAAAGAATTTAGGAAAAAAGGGATGAAACTATTACGAAAATTGCTTTTTTTGGGCAAGAGATGAGTCAAGAAAAAAGTTTTAGCAATTTTATTTGCTAAAATTTACCTGTCCTAACTGTTAAAACAATCATTTCATAATTTTTTAAAGCTTACTTTTTGAATAAAATAAATATACAGAAAGAATAAATATACATATGATCAAATCTAACCAAACATTGTATCATTCGACAAAGCTGAAAGATAATAGTCAGGGAAGAAGGTTTTATTCCCATATTTTTTCTTATTTTTTCATTTCCCTAGAAGGAAAAGAGGAGTACTTTTTCGATAGCTAATAGAGGATTATTTTGAAAAAAAATTTGGAAATTCAAGAAAGATATTTGAAATTATTTTGAACTTAACTAAGTAGTTATTTGAAATAAAAAGAGCCAAACTTTTCGCAAAGTCATTTCAGCTCCTGAAAAATGATATTCTAAAATATTTTATACAAAGGGTTTGGGGATAATTTTGTATAAGTTTATAGCGACAAGTTTTTGGCTTTCTCTTTGTTCTATGATAGTACGATTAAATAATCCGGAAATCATTTTTTGGTGACTTGATAGCTTCTGTGTTGATGCCCTCTGAATAACAATTTCATAGATTTTGGAAAATAGAATGATTCACATTCTAAATATTAGACTAAATACAGTATTCTTAAGTATTTTTAAAGATAATGGCGACGAAACTGTCACGGCGTAAAAACGGCAGCGCAAATGTTTTGGCGCTAAAATTTTGATAAAATTTATTTTAATTGATCGTTTATCTGGATTTTCTTAAAAAAGATTTTGTTTATTTCAGAAATTTTTACAAAATGAATGGAGAAGGATTATCAAATTGTGAGGCGGAATTAAAAGTAAATTTTAAAAGAATAATTTTAAAAAAATATAAAAATTTCTTTTTAAGCCAAGTCTAAGCGATTATGTAAAACTTCAAACAAAATATATTGAAGAAAAAGAAAAGAGTTTAAATTTGGAGAAGAAAATTTTTTATCTTGAAAATGGATTAAAGGAGGTTTGTTTGGATATTTAAATTATTTTTTTAAATAATTTTTAGAAAGAAAAACAAACTTTTCAACAAATAATTGATGAAAAAATGAAAGAAGTTGAAAATAAATCTTTGAAAGAAAAGGAGAAAAATGAAAAGGAAATGAATGAGGTTAATTGGATAAATAATTATTTAAATAAAATTTTAGAAATTTCAAAAAATAAAATCCGATAATGAGCAGAAAGATGAAAAAATAAATTTGTTGGAAAAGGTAAAAATATTAATAAATTATTTAAATAGGTGAGGGATGTCTCGAATTGTGAAGGGATGTCTTGAACGGGCCCCACGCTTGAAATCCTGTCTATTTAAAAGAAAAAAAAACTTATTTCTTTTAAAGATTTCCAAATAAAAATATTTTTAACTTACCTATATAATTTTAAGACAAATGATTTATCTAACAAAAAGATTGCTGAATTAACAAATGAATTGGAAAAATTAAAAAATATTAAATCTTTGGTTAGTTTAATTCGTGTCCGGACAATGCGTCAGTGGACAATCGGTCAGTATTGATATAAAGTGATTAAAATTGATGAGGTAAAGAGATAAAAAATAGTATAAAAAGACTAATGATCGGATACAAATATATTACGAGTATTTAAAAAGGGGTTTTGGGGTTTAAAAGAGATATAGAGGGATTTGTTGCGATTATGTCCGATATCTCGAGTTTGGGAGGATTAACAAAGATATTAAGTTATTGGTTGGATTAAGCTGGAGATCAGACGATTTGTAGTGATATTAGTGAATTTTTATTCACTTTTAATCACTTCATATCGATACTGACCGATTGCCCACTGACGCATTTTCCAATGACGCATTGTCCGGGAGCCGTTTAATTTAAATAATTTTTTGTTTTTTAAGAATTTTATTAAAATTAGCAATAAATGGAAAGAAATTGATACTGATATGTACAAATGTTGCGACAATAAATGTATAAATACAAACAAACCAATTGGTGAATGTATTAACGGGAATGGATGTGTTAATTTAATTAATGAAGAGAATAATATTAAATATGTTAAATGTGGAGAAGGAAAAGGTAAATCATTTAGTGACAATAATTATTAAATATTTTAGGTGTAAATGATATTTCTGTAATTTTTGCTGAAAATTCATTCAAAAAACCGCAAAACAGCATTAATTATTCTTTGTTTTATTTTGAAATTAAATGTACTACTAGAATTGGAGGAAAATTAAATAATGACACAGAAATGATTATTGGTCTTGAATTGGAAACTGCTAATAAAGGATATATTAGATTTGAAGCATCTTTTGCTTCAATTTTTAATGAAAATGAGAAAAAATTTAAAGTTCCAAATTTTACTTGGAAAAATAACGATGTTTTTGGTTGCGGATTAGTTTATCCGCCTGAGGGTGTTCCCTATATTTTCTTTACTCAAAATGGAAAACAAATTGGTAAAGATTGAAATTAAAATTATTTTAAATATTTTTTTAAAGGTAAAGCTGTATTACTTAAGGACAATTGTGACTCATTCAAACCATATGTTGCACTTATATGTTGTTCTGTACAGGCAAATTTTGGAGGAGATTTGGAGAGTGAACCTTTTATTTATGATATTTCAAAACATTTAGCTACCAAATATTATTGAATGGTTTACATTTTTGATTTTTTTATTAATCTTTTATCAGTTAAAAAAATTTATTTTGTTAACGAATTTTACAATTTTTGAATAAAATTATTTTTTAAAGATTTTTCAAAAATAATTATTATTTTTACAATATTTTGATTGATCATTTATCTGAATTTTTAAAATAAAACTTTGTTTATTTCAGAAATTTTACAAAATGAATGGAGAAGGATTGTCAAATTGTGAGGCGGAATTAAAAGTAAATTTTGAAAGATAATTTTAAAATAAATTAAAATTTCTTTTTTAAGCCAAGTCTAAGCGATTATTTAAAACTTCAAACAAAATATATTGAGGAAAAAGAGAAAAGTTTAAATTTGGAAAAGAAAATTTTTTATCTTGAAAATGGATTGAAGGAGGTTTGTTTGGATATTTAAATTATTTTTTAAAATAATTTTTAGAAAGAAAAACAAAATTTTCAACAATTAATTAATGAAAAAATGAAAGAAATGAATGAGGTTATTTTGGATATTTTTAATTATTTAAATTAAATTTTAGAAAATTCAAAAAATAAAATCTGAGAATAACCAAAAAGACGAGAAGATAAATTCGTTAGAAAAGGTAAATAAAAATATTTTCTAATTTACATATCATTTAAGGCAAATGATTTATTTAACAAAAAGATTGCTGATTTAACAAATGAATTGGGAAAATTAAAAAATATTCAATCTTTGGTTAGTTTAATTATTTTTTAATAATTTTTTGTTTTTTAAGAGTTTTGTTAAAATTGAGAATAAATGGAAAGAAATTGATTTTACTTATAATGGTAATTTTAAATGTTGTGAAAATGAATGTATAAATACAAACAATCCAATTGGCAATTGTTGTAAGGGGAATGGATTTGTTAATTTAATTAATGAAGAGAATATAAAATATATTAAATGTTGGGAAGGGAAAGGTAAATAAATTATATTTAGAGATCGGAATTTTGTTTCGTACTGTAATACCGATAAATACCGTTTAGACTTTTTTGAGGTGTCCGGATCTCGACTTTGAGTAGAGATATGAGCCTAATTTTTTGTTACATGTTGATGGACTATACATGTTTGAGGGACTGGGCCATTAGGGCGCGGGGCCATTAGGGCGCGAGCTTATAAAACTGAGTTGCTTATCAAAAAAGATTAAATTTTGCAATAATAACTCGGTACTTTATGGATATGTCACCCCCCACCCTATTTTGAGTCTCAGTTTTCCTTAAACGTAGAAAATGGTTAGAGATTATTTTCTTCTCCATGTCAATCATTTTTTTTCTTCAAGCAAAACAAGTGAAATGTGGTAAATGTAGAAACGAAATGAGTGAAATGTAAGTACAAAATATGGGAAAAGACAAAATAAAAAAGCAAAATACTTGAAGAAGAAAAAATGATTGACATGGAGAAGAAAATAATCTCTGACCATTTTCTACGTTTAAGGAAAATCTGAGACTCAAAATAGGAGGGGGGTGACATATCCATAAAGTACCAATAACTCTCATGCCTTTATCTAAGTTATTCAAAAATTTCAGAATTTTTGATCAAGAATTTCGGAAATTGTGGCCAAAAATGTTAATTTTCTGAAAAAACCCTAATTTTTCGCGGTCTATCGACTATAACTTCAGAAATATTCGATGAAAATTTCTGAAATTTCTGGAG